GAGCCCCCTGCCGCACCCCTCCTGCACCACAACCCCCTACACTGAGCCCTCTGCTGCACCCCTCCTGAAGCCCAAACCCCTGCCCTGAGCCCCCTCCTGCACCCCACACTCCTGCCCCTTCCCCTGCCCCCCCTCCCCTCCCCCCCCCCACACCCAACCCTCTGCCCTGAGCCCCCTAACCCCCTGCCGAGCCCCCTGCCGCACCCCAACTCCCTACGCTGAGCCCCCGCTGCACCCCACACTCCTACACCTTGCCCTGAGCCCCCTCCTGCACCCCAACCTCCTGTCCCAGCCCTACATTCATGGCCCTGCATGCAATTTCCCCACCCAGATGTGGCCCTTGGGCCAAAAAGTTTGACCACCCCTGTACTAGGTACTAGCCCTCCAGCATGAGGTGGATGGAAGAGTGACCTTCAGCTCTTTGCCAGGAGTTTGCAAAGAAGTTCTGGTTTCGAGTGGAAGCCGTTACTGAGCATGCAGGGCACCAATGGCGCTCCCACTAGTCAGTTGGTGTCACAAGGCAAGTCAGAGGAAGGTGGGTCAGAGAGAGGCTGAACAGAAATAGCAAATGCTCAGGACCTCCAGGATACAGCCCATAATCCTTTCAGTATTTTCCCCTGTGTACCTCTATTTGCTTTCTAGGCCTGTCAGCATCATCTGGAGTTAGAGTGATAACACTCTAGGGCATATGCTTAAGATTTGGAGAAAGACAGCAGTTAAGGGAACATGCACAAGCTTCTCTCACTTGTTCATCTAAAAATGGAGTGGCAGGTGTGGAAAGATCCAACAGGGTGCAGAGACTCACCATGAAATTTCTTGTCCAGGATCATCTGTGACAGTTTCCTTTCCACATCAGCCTGAAATTGAAATAGAAATAATCCCTTGAAGGTAACTGCAGAGCAGTGGATTTTACTACCCTCAACCCACAGACGTGGCAGGATATAAAGATAAATGCCTCCAAGCAATATTTCAGCATTTGTTATTGAATATCTTTGCAAGCCAGATCTCACATACAGACTAGCTTGCAATTCCAGTCAGTCAATTTTAGGCAAAGCAGGATGTAAGAGCAACCACGACCAGGAACCACCTTTTAACGATCAGAGTTCCCAAGTGACCTATTGCCTTTTCGCGTCATGAAATACAGTACAATCTTCATTTCACACATACTGGAATCAGCAGGGGATTTGGAGCATTCCTGCTTGACTCAGCAAGCATCTAGTTAGATGAGCTTCACCATGCATCAGTCTTTGATGACCTGCTACAGCCAGCAAGTGGCCCATTGGGAGTCAGGCCTTTGTTCTCCACTCTCTGCTATGTTAGTAGAGCTCACAATTAAGGAATGTTTGTGCTCCCAGTGTGCGCTAGCGCCCAAGGGCTGAGTTAGAGAGTGCACCATTTGGAAACGAGGCTGTATGGTGGAAGCAACCACGTGGCCATGAGTAAGATACTCTCCGTCACCTGACATGGCAGCTCTGAGTTTAGAGCCTCTCTGACAGTTTGGGGCAAGGGCATTTCTGGGTGCTCCTGAGAGCAAGACTTAAGACTTACACCAACTGAGATGTTGCTGAGAGTCTCCCTTTATGCACCGCGGGAAGTTAACAGAGGGGATCTGTACAGTCACTGTGCCAAGTTCATCCCTGGTGAAACTCCAGCCAAGGGAGCAACTAGTTTGGCCCACTACCTTTTAAGAGCTTTTCAAGTCAAGTCAAGGACCTTTCTAGAAGGCTTTGGCCCAGCTGTTTCATGACAGTTATACCCTGGACTGCCATTTGGATTAAAAAGGGCTACGCTGGATTCAGTGAGGGGTTTCTGAGCATGGAAAAATTCTACAGCACTTTATAGGGAGGCTCCTTCAGACTCTTCAAACGTAGAAGAGTCAGCAAGTGGTGGGAGTGGCAGGGGCAGGACCTGGGGACAGGAGGAGGGTTTTGTAGGGAAGCCCATCTCTCCCTAAGCAAAACAAACTGCAAGCATCTTATAAGAACCCCTGCCCTCAAGGGGGTGTGTGACGGGGTGTACCAGGCCCTTTGAGGCCCCTTGCAGCCAATCAGAGCCCAGAAGACGCAGATAAAAGCAGCTTCAGGGCCTGAGCAGGACAGTTCCTGACTGGGGCCAAAGGTGCAAGGAAGGGTGTCCACGCTGGCCAAAGGGAGTTTGATGGGCTGCATTAGTTGAACCTGGGAACAGGAGGACCTGAGGACTCTTGCCCTAAGGTAATGGACGGAGGTGAAGAGGCCAGGTGGGAAGGGAACCAGGGAATGTAGCAGCAACCAAGTTAAGGAAGCAGTATGTGGCTGCTACCTATAGGGTCCCTGGGTTGGGACCCGGAGTCGTGGGTGGGCCCAGGTTCCCTCACCGGCCACTGGGGAAGTGACCTACGCCCCGAGGAGGGGATATGCCTCATTCAGAAGCCCAAGAAAAGGGCTGGAATTGAAAGGGCTCAGGGCTCTGGTAAGGGCAGGCAGACTGACTGTCTGGTGATCTCTTTGTTATATCCCCCCCCAGGGATTGAACTTGAGAGATGACCTGGCTGGACAGCTGGGGCAGCAAGAATCAGTGAAGACAAGTCTCCAGGAAGAAAGTCTTGGGGCAGTGCTCTATAACAGGGCAGGGAAGAACTTAAAGTTAGCCCAGAAGAGCCTGAGAACCGAGCCCAGAGACAGGGCTGAAGACACTACCAAGGGCGCAGTGACAGGCCTGGCTGGACCTCTGTTACCCCGGAAGGGGCTCATTCATGCCTACTGCCTGTGTGTGACTTGGCCGTGGGCTGAGTTCTAGCGAGGTCAGCAGCCTACAGAGGGCACCAGGAGAAAATGAATAGAGGTGAGTGCACCCGTCACAGGAGGGATTTCCCAACAGTGGCATTTGTTCTCGTTGTGGTGGAGCTGCCCACGCCTGGAGTTTTAATGCACTGAGTTATTTCATGGTGGTCATTTGACCCCTCAGTCTCTTTGCCCTCTTTACTAAACCATCCCACAGATTTCTAGCAATGTTCTTACCTTTGAGAGCTTGATGAGGCTGGATATGTGTTCCATCTATAAAGGGAGAGAAAGACCAATACAGATACGGGAAGTCAAGCTTTAGTTTTGCTTTTACGACAGAACAACAGGTTACGGGTTCTTTCTACATGACAACTCAATACTCCAGCCATCTACCCCAGATGGGTTCCTTTGCTTCATCTCATTTAGACTTCAGACCACAATACAATTCTAATTGAAGATGGACAGACCACAAACTGAACAGCTGAGTCATCATTTCACTGCTTCAGGCCAGATTTAAGATTGGTATTATTCCAGCCTCACCCATGCCTTGGCAGACCCCTTAGAGCCAAACACCGTCAATCCAGGCGTTACAAACATGCCCATCTAGAGCTTAATGAAAAAATGAAAGAGCATGCTTTTGACAGTTCTGGAGGTTCCCCCATCAGCCCTTTAACAGCCAGTCGTTTTGAGCTGAAGATGACAACTTATGGACTCAAGTGCCAGTCCACCAAGTGGTCAGCAGAACTCATCTGAGTGAGTCAAAAGACTCCCTATAACTGCAGATTACTTCACCTAGCAGCCCCCTGCTTGTGTCTAAGAAGCTCACACACCAAGGATGAGGGGGGGAAAGCTGCCGGAAGTAAAGAAACACTTACCTGTACTCTAGAAAAGGGTTCAATGACTCGGATCAGATTTTGTTCCAATAAGTTATCATAGAGTTTAGCCAAATGAGTGTTGATGATGGGGTCGTCCCTGAGCTCCACCTTATAATCGGTCAGAGCCTACAGAAGACATGTGGGGAACAAATAATTAGGCTGGGAGATGATAGTGAAGACAGGAGACCTGTTGGGCCAAGTCCAACCACCTGTCAGGGCAGACTATAGCTTCCCTTACTTCCAGCACGGCATCAGATGTTAAACTGCTACTACGCATTACCCTAGCCAGACAGTCAGTATCTGGCACCTCAGCCTAATGATTTTCAAGCACCTTGCTGATTAGTATCTTTCTTCACATTCTTTATAATGGCGTGACCCAGAGGCTCAGGTAAGCAAATGCATTTGTTCTCCTCTTTGACAGGTTTGGCATAACAGGGTAGCTTCCTGTCCCTGCTTCTTCTCCCCTCAACTTGTGTTTTCTTCCTGAAGAATCTTTAAAAAGGCTTCAGTCCAGGAAGATCAATTTTTAAAAAAAAAGCAATGGAAGTATCCAAATGGGAAATCATTTCAAACGAATGAAAATCTGAGCAGGCAGTGGATTTCTTCAGGCTTACAAGAAAGGAATATTTTATGCAGGAATGAGGAGAACGAAGAACGGAAGGGGATACTAGCCACACAATTTACTCCTAGGGGAATTCTGCCCCATTGTGAAAGTGCAAAATTAATGCCCCCTGCAGATTTTACTTTCTCCATGCAGAAAAATTGATTCATGCACCCCTCCCAGGCAGTGGGGTTGGGGGAAAGGGGGTAAGAGAGAATATCTGGTTAGGGCATCAGGAGCAGCCGGGAGAGATGTAAATCACCACCTCAGGGGGCAGGGCTGGTGTGCGAACGAGACTCTCTCCCTCTCACGGTGCATCCGGAGCTGGGGACACCTTGACCGGTAGCTCCTACTGTGCACCGGGCTCCAGCTGCAAGTCCCGGCCGGCTGGACAGGCGGGGGCAAGGAGACAACTTCCTCTTAACCTGCACAGGCCACTCCCAGGGCTGGGTCAGACCCACCCCTGGGAACCTCCCCCAGTTTCAGGAAACTCCGTACCCCCACCCTGCTTCCTGACCTCATCGCTCCCCAGCCGCAGGGGGAGGAGTCACTGTGGGGGGAGCTGCCCCCCATCTGCCCAACACCCCCCCCACAAACCCAGGCCTGCCCTGCTGAGCCACACATTCTGCATCTGGATCCACCCTTTGCACCCAGACTCCCCTGCCAACCCCCACTCTTGCAACCAGACCACCCCCTGCTGAGCCCCCCGCACTCAAACCCTCACCCCCGTCAAGCCCCACCCCACCAAACCCCACAGCTGGACCCGCACCCCACTGAGCCGCAACCAGCTACACCCAGACCTCCCCACCCCATGGACCTCCTTGCTGAGTCCCCTGCACCCAGACCCCATGCTGAGCCCCATCCCCCGCCCGCCCATCTCAAAGCCCTCTGCTGAGCCTCAGCCACCTTCACCTGGATCGCCTGCCCACCCCCAGAGTCCCATTCCCCCCAATGAACCCTCCGATAAGGCCAGTGGTGAGCTGGAGCCGGTTGTTAAATTTAGAAGCCGGTGTAGAACCGGTTGTAGAGGGGCCGGCAGGTGGGCAAACTCCAGCCCGCGGGAGCGTCCTGTCCGGCCCGCCTGAGCTCCCAACTGGGGAGGCTCCCCCGCTTCCCCCCCAGCGCAGAGGCCCAGCACGCCGCAAGCATTCTGGGCAGCTCTGCAGCTCCTGACGCTTTGAGCAGCATGGTAAGGGGGCCGGGGCTGGGAGGAGGGGTTGGATAAGGGGCAGGGAGCGGTTGGAGGGGGCGGTCAGTGCACCGGGGGGAGGGGGGGGTTGGGTAGGCATGGGAGTTCCAGGGGTCTGTCGGGGTGGTGGTGGATAGGGTCGGGGCAGTCAGGGGACAGGGAGCGGTGCGAGTTGGGCATCTTGGGAGGGGGTGGTCAGGGGACAAGGAGTGGGGGGGGTTGATGGGTTGCAGATTCTGAGGGGGGCAGTCAGGGGCAGGAAGTGGGTTGGGGTCGGGTGGGGGGGAGATAGGCACGTGGGGCTTGTACTCAGCGCGAGGTTCCCTACCAGGTCTTCGGTGGCACTTCGGCAGTGCGCGTATGCATGTGTCTTCACTTGCTCCGGGTGAAGAGCCCGCCGCTGAAATCCCGGAGCGAGTGAAGGCCCCCCCCCAATGCCGCCGAGGACCCGGTTATTACGATTTTGGGAGCTCATCACTGGATAAGGCCCTGTGCATCCAAATCTGCCCTCCCCGCCACCACATCCGAACTCCCCACAGAGCCACCCAGACTGCCCCACACAGAACCCTCTCACCCCACACCTTGATCCCACACACACTAAGCCCCTCCACACGTGGAGCCTGCTGGGCCCACCCCTGGATTGGGGGGCAGGGTTGGGCATGCAAGATTCTGTCCCTCTCGCTTGCTATGGAGCCATATAGATGTGCTAATATGCCTACTAAGGAATCTATTTGTCAAAATAAAAAAAATAAAAAAAATCCTGAATCTTTCTTGTCGTCTGTGTTGTTATTCATATACTTGCTGACAGGTATTTTAAAATAAATTACCAAAATAATTGAAAATGGTGTGCTTATATTGTGTTATTTTGACACGCAAAATATGCAAAATTTTGCAAAGTTTTAAAACATTGTGCACAGAATTTTTAATTTTTAGCACAGAATTCCCTGAGGAGTAAAAAGTAGCCTTTTTAGAGTACTTGTGACTTGAGTCTGTAGGCTTCAGCCTAATCCCCGGTGAACACAAGTTCCCATCTTCCATAATTTAGTAGCTCCCTGGTCAGAAAAGACCACCTACATGAATAGCAGCAGGGTACTGAAGGTCACAATTAAGATGTACCTCTCTTGGCTGGAGAAAGGGACAAGTTTACAGAGCACCAGGACCACTGCTCTGTCCCTCAGCATAGGAATTTGCTCTGTTCTGCTCTAATGTGGTAATTTGTCAAGTTTCATCTCTGTTGGTAAATTCTTGAGAATTTTGCATTATTCAGTGTTTCCAAATTTCCTCCCTTTTCATATTAATAGCAAATGGTTTGTTAAGAGTATTCAGGCTTCAAACTTCGTGTTGTTATGCAAATCATGTGGTATTGAGCCAGAACAGCACAAATGCTACAATCAAGTAAGCAATTTAAAATGGTCTTTCAGTAAATATTCCAGCTTCAATTTTTTCTCACAAATTAGTGCTAGAAGAACTAGACCACTTAATTGTTCACGGAAAGCAAATATGGTCAAAATGAAGTTAGTTTTCAAACTCAAGCAAATACCACAAGAACATTCTTTCTGCTATAGCTTGGCTCCATCATGAGCACTAAAACGTCCATCTTTTCACACAGTCCTTTGCAACCTCTTCCCATCTGGAGTCTTCCTGCTCACTTACCTTTTCAAAGTCTGCCAGCGATCGATTCTTACTGGCCTGTGCCACACGCTTTAGAGCTTCTGTCTGCAAAGATAAAATGGAGCTAGTGTTAGTATTTGGGGGTGTCCAGAAAAACGTTCTGCCAGCTGAATGGAGCACAGAGAAAGTTCTTAACTACAAAAAGGGGGAATGTTCCCTTTGCAACAAAGTCTCATGTCTGTTTAATTCCAGATACAAAGAACAAGAACATCAGCTGACCACAGAAGAAGGAAAAAACCCAACAGTTGCAGGTCACCTAGTATCACAACAGCTTCATGCTAAAAAAGAATTGGAGTTCTGTAATGTTTGAGAGCTGCAGCAAAAGGATGCAGTTCCTGCCAAGGTTGAACGCAGGGAGTAACTTCAGTTGCAGTTCTGCAACGTGCACATTTCAGTACTGCCTTCAGAAGTGCAAATTTAGGTATTTTAAGCCAGTTAAATCACATTTCACACCTCAGTTACGCTGTCTCAGGTGGGGGGGGGAGAGGGGAGTCAGTAGACATACTAGTGACATGGGCTGTATGACAGGAAGCACTTCCTGAAGGAGAGAGAATTTTTTATGTCTCATTTTCCTAGTAACTGTAGGGAAGGAGAACTGTAGACAGAAACATTACCCTGCATGTTAGAGTTGAGGATCAGTACTAATAAAGAGCTAAAATGGCTCTGGTAAAGATTTGCTAGGCCTGGCATATTGCAAGGATTCAGACTTTCAAATCACCCCATCATGATTAACAATGTGCTTTGCTCCCTCCCAATCCCACTTAATTGAGAACATTTCAGCAGACTCTCCCAAACAAACAGATACTATATACTGTGGGGAAGCTGGAAACATTACTTTTCAAGTTAATCAGCATTACTCAGGCAGCGTAGCTGCATTAGAAAGGAAGTGTAGTCTAGTGGTTAGGGCACTGGTTGGAAGTCAGAGGACATGGGGTTGTGTTCTCACATCTTCTGCTAACTTAGTGTGCAGCCTTGCGCAATTCATTTTCCCATCTATTAAATGGGGATAACACCCCCCTGTGAGGTCAGAAGTAATATTTGAAGTGCTCAGATACCATGATTGTGTTTGGGGGTTTTTTTTGCAGGGGGGTGGAGAGACAACCAATAGGAGTATCCAGCAGTATCTTATGTAATGGAACACTGAAGTCCTCAAATCATGGTTTAAAGACTTCAAGGTGCAGAGAATCCTCCAGCAAGTGACCCATGCCCCACGCTGCAGAGGAAGGTGAAAAACTCCCAGGGCCTCTGCCAATCTGCCCTGGAGGAAAATTCCTTCCCGACCCCAAATATGGCAATCAGCTAAACCCTGAGCATGTGGGTAAGACTCACCAGCCAGACACCCAGGAAAGAATTCTCGGTAGTAACTCAGATCCCACCCCCTCTAACATCCCATCACAGGCCATTGGGCATATTTACCGCTAATAGTCAAAGATCAATTAATGAAGGAAGACAGAGAGTTTTCTATACCTGTCTTCCTGCATACCGCAGAGCAAGCTTCCCACTCACTAATGCCTGCACATCCTCTGGGCTGGAGAGAGAAGGGAAGGAAAAGAGCATTTACTCAACAAGTGTCACTGTGGTTCTAAATACAGGTATTAACAGTTACCTTTTCCAACTGAGCCACAAACTTCCTGACTCTCACATGCCTCCACATAAGTGCTCATCAAAATCATCTCGCTCAGGTTTTCCATTATAAAACTAAAATGTCTTGGACTTAATTTCTAATAAGAACCTGGGCATTTCCAGGAGACACGAGATTACAAGGCTCAAAGATTAAAGAAATAGAAGCTCTGAATTAGTAAAAAAAAAAAAAAAAAAAAAAAAAAAACCACATTATATGAGAAGGCAGCACTGGCTGAGTGTGGTTGCTTCAGTTGTGTGGTTAGCTATGAGATTGGAATAGGCAATTCCTTTCCTGTTCCAATGTAACTGTTCTTCCCACAACCTATGTGCCACCTACGTGTTGAGCATGATTTTGCACAGCAACATGTATTTCAATGCAGTGATGGCTTTTGGGCTGTCAATTGAATCATATCCCTCAAATGCCTCATAAAAATAGGAGTAGGCTGTTTTCCAGTCCTTTTCTTCTGCTGCATGGATAATACCTGTTGGGAGAGGGAAAAACAGGCAGAAGTCAAACTCAGTTCTGCATTCAGCTGGAGGCAGATGAAAATGTGGCTGCTTAACACTGCATGTTGCACTTTACTGCAAGGGATACTTTTCCTTTAAACTTACTTATTCCTGAAGTCCTCTAAACCCTAGTTCTCTCTTCCAAGTAGAGTAAAACAGATAGATAGCAAACTCAGAAAAACCCGCACAAAAGTTGTGGCTCTAGCAAGATAAAACAAGCAATAAAGTGCTGAAACACATGTTGCACCTCCTCGGTCTGTTTAGATAATGGCTACAGTACTAGCTTCTCCAAATGATATACATTAGAAAAGTTATGGGACCACTGGAACTGCAGGTTGAAGACATCTTCCCAAGCTCATTAGTACAAATGATGACTTAATCAGTTTTGCCTGGTCAGACAGAGGTTGTGAGCAACTGAACTGCTGCATGAATTTACACTAGACTGAAATACGGAAATCTGCAGCTGCAACAAATGCTTTTCCCTGAATAGCAGCAGAGCTAGTGCTTTCACTGTTGCCAACTTGAGATTTTATTATGAATCTCGTGATATTCTGTGTTTTACTTAAAGTTCCAGCTCCTGAAGTCAAGTGAGTACAGGACATTCTAACCTTTCATTTAAAGAGTTTATAGGCCTTACGCCTGCAGAGGAAAGCTTGAAAATATGACCCAAGTGCACCCAGGAGGCTTAAGAGCCAGAAGGCAAAGAAAAACCACACCATTTATTTTTAAAATCTAATGATTTTTAAACCACTCATTTTGGGGTTTGATGGGTATGCAGTGTTGCCGCTCTCAAAAACATCACAGCAATGAAAGTGGTTTAAGAAAGCATGAGTCTCCACGTACAAACCGAGGCGATCAGAGGGTTAAGGAATTGTTATCTAGATCAGTTGTGAGCACCTCAAATGTTTACAAACTGGATGACATTGACAGCATTTCAATTGTGGTAACATGAAGTACCACAGCTGTCACCTCAGACAGAGAAGCCATATCACAGTCCGCTGATGCTGGGCCCCTCTTCTCTTGAAGGGCTTTACCTGACTGCATGTCCAGTGCTGCCTGCAGTTTGGGTGGGCAGTAGATTGCATTGGCTGTAGTTCGTGCAGAGGTTAAAGCTGCTCTTGCTTTTGGCAGATTGCTCAGGGCATGGTATGTCTTGCTTTCTAATAGCTGCACTTCAACCAAGAGAGCCTTGTCATCCATCTTTTTCAACTCCCGCAGGAGCTGAGATCCTGGCAAGAGACATGAACAACAGCATTTGTAACTTGCTCCAAACAGCTCTTTGATCAGTGGAAGCAAATCAAGATCACTGTGGACAACAGCTTCTTCCCCAAAGTAATGCTGCTTTTCAGACATGCATTCAGTGCCTGGAAGAGTCCACGGTGCTCATGCCCACGTTCTGTGGTTCTAAGAAAAAAAATGAAGGACGGGAAGCATAACAGTTCAGTCTGGATCCAGAGTACAGTAGTCTTGGATCAAAGTGGGATATGAAAGAACTAGGGACAGGAGACCAGTTATTAAGATGGAAGATTTGATACAGCACTGAGAATGTAACGTCTTTGGGTCCCTACTAGACTGGTCAAAGTGTCCTGTACGTAACAGAACTCATCATTCCCCATATCAGCCTCATTTTTAATTTGGAAGCAGTGAACTATTGCCACCTGGTGGCAACTTACCTAGCTGCAATGCCTCTTGGTATCTCTTTGTATCGAAGTATAAAGACACCAGCCTTGCCTGGAGAAGAGAAAAAGAATTGCTGTGAGGAAAGGCAGAGCAAGGTAACAGATTTTGCAAAATGAAACTTGGTATTCTCATTAATTTGCACTTATTGGCTATGTTAGTGTTCTGCTTTGTACTGTAATTCCAAATGCTGTCTGGAAGCTCTGCTGGATCTAAACAACTGGGGAAAATACTCTCCCACCAAGAAAAATCTCTGTCCAAGTTTCCCCATAAAGGGCAACAAATCTTAGAATAATCATGTTGTCCTGTCATTTGCACAGATCTTGGGAACATAAAAAAAATCTCTGCATTTACAAACACTGTCAAGTGGAAAATACAACCATATACTTTGTATCCATACACACATATCATACCTCTAGAGCCTGGCGTAGGAAAGTCCTCTTCTCTGATTTGGCCCATTCAATACACTCTAAGCACAGGTCGACCTTAGGGGGAACAAATGAAATTTTTAAAACCCTCTTCTTCCATTCTCTTTGTTACAGGAAGATCATCCAACCTAAACAACTCAATCACTGTTCTATACACTGCAGTGACAAGCAAAATAAAATGGAAAAAAGTTGGTGTTGATTTCAACAGCACTGTTAGCCTATAAGGCGAATCTTACCATATAGGTCCAAAGGCCTGTGCTAAATACCAAGTTATCTGTTATAGACTAATACTAACCTTACTGAAATGAGGCGCGGGTTTAAGTCAATGACCTCAGAAGCCGAGATTTCACAGTACAGTCAATTATGACATACTTATCCTGTATGTTTCAATCAGCCTTGACCTTGGGATCATATACAGCCAAAACATAGCCTCATATTAGGTACAACTTAATGCACACACCCCCACCTCAAGGGTATTAAACTTGTGTGACTTCTGTAAAATGAGGACTGTAGCAGGAACCAAGCAGAAGGCATGCATTTATCATAGAATATCAGGGTTGGAAGGGACCTCAGGAGGTCATCTAGTCCAACCCCCTGCTCAAAGCAGGACCAATCCCCAACTAAATCATGCCAGCCAGGGCTCAGTCAAGCCTGACCTTAAAAACCTCTAAGGAAGGAGATTCCACCACCTCCCTAGGTAACCCATTCCAGTGCTTCACCACCCTCCTAGTGAAAAAGTTCTTCCTAATATCCAACCTAAACCTCCCCGAATGCAACTTGAGACCATTACTCCTTGTTCTGTCATCTGGTACCACTGAGAACAATCTAGATCCAACCTCTTTGGAACCCCCTTTCAGGTAGTTGAAAGCAGCTATCAAATCCCCCCTCATTCTTCTCCTCTGAAGACTAAATAATGCCAGTTCCCTCAGCCTCTCCTCATAAAATCATGTGCTCCAGCCCCCTAATCATTTTTGTTGCCCTCCACTGGACTCTTTCCAATTTTTCCACATCCTTCTTGTAGTGTGGGGCCCAAAACTGGACACAGTACTCCAGATGAGGCCTCACCAATGCCAAATAGAGGGGAATGATCACGTCCCTCGATCTGCTGGCAATGCCCCTACTTATACAGCCCAAAATGCCATTAGCCTATTGGCAACAAGGGCACACTGTTGACTCATATTCAGCTTCTCATCCATTGTAAGCACTAGGTCCTTTTCTGCAGAACTGCTGCCCAACCATTCGGTCCCTAGTCTGTAGCAGTGCATGGGATTCTTCCATCCTAAGTGCAGGACTCTGCATTTGTCCTTGTTGAACCTCATCAGATTTCTTTTGGCCCAATCCTCTAATTTGTTTAGGTCTAATTTGTCTAGATGTTATAACCTCATGGGAATGTTACAAGAATTGAGATAAAAGGGCTACATTTAGAATATAAACTACTTATTATCACTAATTTACCTCGTGTCATGATTGCTAATCACTGTCTGCTACTGTATATTACATGTATTTAAAAAAAACCCAGAGGATAAGCAAGAGTTTCTCTCTAGCATAAGCCTTTTGTAGCCTCAACAGGACCACACCTAAGGTGACCAGATGTCCCGATTTTATAGGGACAGTACTGATTTTGGGGTCTTTCTTATATAGGCTCCTATTTCCCCCCATCCCCGGCCCGATTTTTCACATTTGCTGTCTGGTCACCTTAACTACACCTGAAGTGAAAGGTGACATCTCTGCTGCAATAGTGGAGGTTTCTCCTAGTTAGAGCAAAATACACTTGTTCCCACAGGTAAGCCCACTGCTGCAAAAGGCACAGTTGAGGTGTTTTGCCTTTAAAATCATTATTTTAGACTCTAATTATATTGATTCAAACAAAATTTGAAGACACAAAATAACAGCCAGACAACTGCCGAGGTGTCATCCTGTCTGTAAGATAAATGAAGAGGAACTCCCCATGGTCTGTGTTGCCACAGACGGAGCAGAAAATTAAGCATCTAGATCTTATGGTTATGAAGAAAATCCCAAGTGTTAACATATCTTCCTGGCTCCAATGCTATTACTGTTGCTCCTAGTTCTCTCAAAAAGCTGTAGCATGAAATCAAGACTACTCTGGGCAGTTTCAGCTCTGCTATTCAGGAGCAGCTGTGAAACTGACAAGAATAGTGTCGTGTCTGCTGCTTGAGAAAGCTATGATCAGCAGCAGAGACAGGCCTGGGAGATATTCAGGAGCAAGGATCAGTTACAAATGGAGACTAAAGGAGGGCAGAAGCCACCTCAGCAGGCAATAGGCTCTGGCACATGAGAAAGCAAGCTCCCTTTTCCAACAGCCCAGTTTAATCCTACACAGCAAGAGCCAGTGGCTGAGACAAAGGATGGTGCCCCTGAGCAGTATCCAAGATCAGCAATCCCTGCCCTTCGTATCAATTGGGAACTGGGTCTCTCACTGAGGTGTTGCCACAGGCCATTGCTAGTAGTGCCCCAAATTATATGGGCCTCTGGCTTGTAGAAGTCTGAAGTTTTTCAATTCCTTAGTTATATGAGTTACCCAAGACCAGAGGAGGATAAAGTATTAGAGCCAGAACCTCAACTCAAGAATTACTTCATTCCTAGCATATTGAGGCATCTAGAAAATCAAGTAATTTCTTTCAGTTTACATAATTACGCATGAATTAGATTTAGAGTAGCCAATATTTTATTACATAGTGAGCATGTCCTGTGACACAATACAAATGATTCTTCACTGGACAGCAGAACAAATCAGCTGACAGTGCTGTAAAAGCCTTTGAGGAATGAGCTCCTGTCTGAATTCAAGGGGTCTCACCTCCTGTCCTGTAGCTGCCTCCATATCGAGGAACAGATCAAGGAGAGATCGGACTAAACGGGCTGCCTTTGCTTTGCTGATGGAATTCAAGAAGGGTCGAACATACTTCAGAAGTCCTCCAAGTTCTGTATTCAGGACAAACGAGCCATGAAAGAACAACATTTGGGTATTCAAACTACAAGACACACAATAGTCTAACGTTATATTGCAATCTGGGTCTACTCACAGCAATATTTATTATACCAATGCTTGAAAAAAGTATATCCTTCCTGTAAGTCAGTGGTAAATGATTCCCAAGGAAGAGTGTATAGTAGTTAAACCAGAGACTTCTGGGTTCTATTAATGGCTCTGATGTGGACTGATTATGGGACCTCTGGTAAACCACTCAATTTGCCTATTTATAAAAGCATATAACAATACTTACCTCAAGTGTGTTTTAAGACTCTTAATATTTGAAAAGTGCTTTGAGATTTTTGGATAAGAGGGGCAATGGAGTTTGTAATGCAAGTGTATTCTTTGTCTGCTCTTGTTTAATAATTTAATGTACCCTCCCTCACCCATCTTCACAAGAGACAGGTCAGATTCACAACATAATATACATTCAACAGGAAGAATAGTTATGAACGTGAAATTTTACATACATTTCCCATCATGTGCATTATTTTAGATCTTAACTTATTTTCCAGTAAACTCATTTTCTGCTCTGCTTATTAGTTCATCTCTTAATTTACACGTATGTAGTGCATCTCAACTTAGTGTCGTGAAGCCCCAACAGATATGGGCTATACAATACAGATCACCTAATCCTACACTGGGATGGAATGTGACAGCGAGAGCATTCAATGCTGCACAAAACACCACATCAGTTTAGGAAAGGAAGAGAAGATGTATCCAATTGAACTACCTGGAGGATTTAGGAAGGCAGAGCCATTAGAATTTTGCCAGGACTCAGAGTTAATAGCTCTGCTCTTGTGATAATCACAATGGGATCTATAGTGACAAGTTGTCCTGGTGTCTGATTACATTCCATCAGAAAGATGACATTTCCAGCAGCACAGCACCCCCTAGCAGAATGCTATGGCATTGGCTCAACTCTCAAGGAAGTGTGTCCTTATTTCCTGCACAATCTTAAATCTCCCATCAGGTACTGACCACACCCAACACTGCTTAGTTTACACAATCTGACAGGGCGACAGTACAAAATGGCCCAGCTATGGACTATCAATAGTATACTACGATTGCACAATTTGTTTAAGATACCAGATAATCACTTTACAATTCTTAATTCTTACTTTAAACCAAAAAAGGAGAAAACTGAAATCCAAGAATTGGATAAAGGTTTGTTTTTTTAATCTCTTTATTGAAATTACTATACAAAGTGCATTAAGTTCTTGTTGCTTCCCACACATTTCAGTTTTTTTGGGAGTCCAATAGTCAAGAAACAATATTCTTTAATACTGTACGTATTACTATATTTTGTGTTATTGCATAAAAATTCTCCCAGCTCTACAAGAATATGTAGATTGTTTCCTCATACTTTTGGAGGAGTTCACATTTGTTTATTTTTAAACCCTTAATCAATAATTACATCACAAACCAGATTAACATATTGAATTCTATCCCATGCTTAATTTAAAAGTATTCTATCCCACTTGGTAAAGGTGGTGTGTTACCATTTCCATGCATGGGAAGCAGATCATTTTAGCACAAATGAAGCCTATTAATCTTAAGTGTCCCTTCAAGTTCAATGCAGGCTGTTTTGTATCTTGTAATGATACTTGGGCACCACAAGTCATGAGTATGTTCACAACGCGCTGCTAGGATTGACATGGGGAGCATGACAAAGCAGCAGTTAATCTCATAATCTGCCTGAGATCACTTTGCGCAAGATCCTTCCAATTTAGGAGTTATTACTGACTGAATTTCTCCTGTTTGAATCTACAGTGACCAGGAATTTTCATTAGTATCCTGGCCTTTTCATAAAACAAATAATGTTATTGCTACTTCGCAGGCCAGCAGTGGAAGTAACAAGAGATTACAGCTTTAACGGACCATGATTTTGGTGGCATTCATTCTTAAAACACTCATTCCACTGAAAGCTCCTAAACTTAATAAGCCACCTAAGAGAGGTAAAAGTACTTGTCATTATAGGGAGAAGGCAAAGACATCTCTTCAATGGCTTGTCTCATAACGAATGCAACCCATCACGACAGCAACAAACTGACAATGGCCTTTTCTCCCAGTGCCACAACAAATAAGAAGTTTGCCAGATGTAGAATAAAATCTCTAACAATTTTCCCTCCTGCAGTTAAAAGGGCTGCCTCTGGATCTGCCCGTTGGATTTAGGAGGAAGGGAGCACATAGGCTGAAGTGACACAGCAGATGCAATGATGGCATGAAGACACTAGTGTTTTCCCACTGAACGTATCAGGCAAGGCTCATTTCCCTCCAGACATGATCCTGCCTGCTTAGCTTTGGGTCATATGACTAAGTTAGCTAGTAATTTCTTGTCTTCTTAAGCCCCCCCTTCAAAATCCATCAGTTTCTCAAGTAACACAAGGCACTACCTCATCTCCTGGGCACAATGCCTCTGCAGCATCCCCTGCTGGTCAGGACCAACTCAAACCTAGGTCTGCTGCATAAAGATGCAGAATGCTAATAGGCCAAAATTCCTAAAAAAACAGGATTTTCAGGTTAAACATTCAGTGAACATAAATATTGCATCTGATTTAAACAGCCTTGCTCAACCCCGCCTGGTAATTCATCAAGTTTTATTTCACTAGAGATCTGATTCAAAAGGAGGCCTAAAATGTTGATTCACTGGGAGCAAGACAATAAAATCCATACATTTTACTAACTTGTGGTGGAGGGATTATAAATTCATGCCAAGAAGCTGCGAATTCCAACAGAAATTTCTTTCCCCTTGGAATTACTGCTAACTGTTTTTAGTACTTTCTAAGTAAGTGTAGTGTTGGTAAGGAGGGAGTGACTGACAGCCCTAGACAACTGGTGAACAGCAGCCATGAAGTATTAAGTCTGCTGCTCCGTGACAGGAAAAAGGCAATCGCACACTACAGTGCCATTCACCAAATCCCTGACCTGAGGGAACAATGACAATCCTATGGTGATGAGCAACAGTATAAGATTGGATTGATGAAGGGGTAAATTAGTCCCTATGCCAGTTTATTTCTTAGCCTCTGCCAAGACAGATGACAATGGGTCAATTGCAGCAATGCTTTTTGTAACAAGAACATTCGTCCATTAGGAAGAGACTATCAATTTATTTCATGTTAACAGCAGTTTAGTGGCATGAGCGCCCGTTCTAACTTTCAAGCCCTACCAAATCAGGCTTTATCTTCCTTTCCTAAACTGTTTTTGAGTCTGTGATCTTAATTTCCTAGAGAAGAAAGGTTCTGTAGATCACCTCACTCCACCCCTAGGATTTTTAATTATTGTCCAGAATTTGCAGGAGACTTCCCACTCGCTAGAACCTATGCTGCAAACTTTGCATAGCATTCCCTACTGTAGTACTGGAGACATTTTGGGTGCGACTCTCCACAAACATTATAGCACAGTATTGGGTTCTCAGTCAGGAAACTAGGAAGCTTTGATCCTTAGGGGATTTGGGGGAGTCAATCAGTGTGGCTGAAATGCTATAAATCTTTGACTGCAATTTGTTTTGCAGTAGTTATAATTAATTCCCTGTCTGCTTTTAAAATCCTCTTTTCACCAAGGCTTTTGGGAGGACTGAAGAGCAATACCAGTGACAAGAGGAAAATTTCTTCTGGAAAATACCAGTAGTAGAGCAAAATTTATAAATTTAAGCAGTTTCATTCTGCTGTTTACAACACAATGAAACCGATGAGATTTTTGAAAATTTCACTATTTTTAGGCAGCAGAACAGAAATGTGGGGGGTCATGAGGTTATGTGGGGGGTCGCAAGCTGTCAGCCTCCCCCCCCCCAACCCCGCTTTACATCCAGCATTTACAATGGTGTTAAATATATAAAAGAGTGTTTTTAATTTATAAGGGGGGGGGGTGTCGCACTCAGAGGCTCGCTCTGTGAGAGGGGTCACCAGTACAAAAGTTTGAGAACCACTGCTGTAGTAGGTTTACTGTTCTCACTAGCGGGCATCTGGTACATAAAATCCTGACTTTCAATCAAGCACCAATTTATAAAATTAGTACTAGTCTCAATTGAGAAGTGTTTTGGTTTGGTGGTAATCCCCTTAACCAGCCATCCTAAGAGGTCACCCAAAGTGCATTACGTTGTTTGTAAAGTCTCCTGTCTCCAACTTTTATGAATCAGCAATACCTAGAACAGTTCATTCAATCCTCTCTACAACTAACTCTGCTTTATTTTTAAAAGAGGGAACTAATTTTGTATTGGTGTCATCTTAAGTTACCAGTTCAGAAAGGAACAGTTTCTCTGCATTTAGGGGAACACTGGAAACAATCCACTCTGTCACAAGCTATGTTCAATTGCAAATCAGGATGTGGCAAATGTCTAGAATACCCAGACATAACTAATTTAGTACCAACATATAAATGAAAAAGCCAAAATATGTACTTATTTATGTAAGTGGGGAATAAAACATCTGACTTTTAGAACAGACCTAAAACTGATCAATTATTATTTAAGACCCCTCAGCACTTTTTAAAGAGACTGCAGTGTTGACCAGGACAGCAGAGTTAAACTCTAACTTGGTTAATTACATTCTGTTCACTTACACTTTCCAAACAACTTCAGTTTGGTTAAAAAAAAAAAAAAAAAAAAAGCACATGTTCCACAATATGTCCTGAATTATGGTTGTATATGGCTAAACTGCTGCCTGGCTACACTACAGTTGCACATCTGCAGCGGATGGAGTGAGGTTTGTCTGAAGTTGGTGTATCAACTTGTGAAGTCCTTTTGGATGAAAAGTGCTCAATAAATGCAAGATCATTATTCTCCAACAAAAACCTGCTGAACTTTCACTGTAAGAAGCATGCTATCTTAGAACTTTTCAGGGAAACTAAAGATCGGAATATAACTGAACCAAACAATTACTGATTAGAGACGTTTCACCCATTCCTCTCCTTTCATACATCCCCAAAAGAAAGCCTGTCACATCTTCTCTTATGTAGAGTTGGTTGGGAATTTTCCAACACATTTTTCCATCAGTAAATGTTCATTTGTCAAAGCAATCACCCAATTCAAAAGCATTTGAAAAATAATTTAAATTCTTGAGGTGTCCCGTTTCAACATTTTCCTCAATGAAAAGTTTTGGTTTTTTATTCAAATCAGCTTTTAAAGTTTCTTTTTAAAAAAGGCTGAAGTCCTCAGTGTAAAGGGGGAGCCCGGGGGTGGGGTGAGGAGGGGGTTAAGTTTTTTTTTTTTTTTTTTTAAAGATTTATTGGTTTGCAAAAATTTCAGATTAACTTCAGAACAGGGAAAAAAAGTTTCCAAATCTCAAAGACTTACGGGATAGAAAGTAGCTCCCTCCACCCCAGCTCTACTCTTATGTTTGCATCTCCCTACAGACCCATCAACTTGGGTGTACATGCATGTTACAAGAACTCCAATGAGTCAGAACTCGGGCTTACCTTCCGCCTGTCCAGTCTTAGCAAGAAGCGCCCCCAGTTCCAGGATGCTCTGCTCTTTAACTTGCACTGCCTCCTCATCATTTTCCTGAACATCGCGCTTCACTAGAAGAAAGTGGAACAATACCATTTCAATCAAAACACAGAATCTACATAATTACGTTTTTCACTTCTTTCCAGAAACTAACTAGTGTGTCAGGTAACAGTGGAGTCAATCTGGCTGGAATATTTATTACATAGAAATGTTAAGTACTTAGCTTTAGAAAGCTTAAAACCAGTTATTTATCTAGACCTTAGAAATAGTTGCATCTAGCTGACAAAATTTCTCATGTCCTGAAAACAGGTCAGATTTCAGATTCATAAAGTGTCAATAAGACCTCTCTAGCTGTTCAAGAAGGACTGTTCTAAAACAAGCATCTATGGTTGCACCATATGGAGTGTTCTAACAAATGACATCTTCTAAATGGCGACATCTCAAGCGTAGAACCTGCAAGCCGGGTAAAAAAATACTCCCTTATTGCTTGGTGTTAGGATCCTTGTTTTTACTGCTGTTGTGTGTAATGTTGCAATCACTTGGCCAAAGCTCCACAACAAAAATAACGCTAAGGCTGTACGAAGCTGTGAAATTAATCTGTTTGCACTTGCATGTCCAATACTGCAGGCATTACAGGCTCTCAGTTGCAAAAGTTGGAGCTCTCTCTCCTCATAAAGGTTTCATACTTTCTGCTACTATTTAGTGCTTTACAAATATTAAATCTCCAACAACTGTGAGACAAGCAAGTATCCCCATCTTACAGATGAGGCAATAGAAGAACAGAAACGTGAGGAGATTTACTTGACTGAAACTACAGAGCTGGGATTCCTTGCTTCCTTGTCCAGCACTACAGCTGGGATTAGAATTCAGAAGTTCTTAGTTCTCACTCTACGGGACAAGACCTTATGGCCCCAGTAACTTAATATGCTCAGTATCATAAGCAAAGTAATTTTGCTTTCCCCAGCACAGAAGGTCTAATTATAGTAAAAGAAATACCCACTGCCTTAAAAAAAAAAGTCTACTATAGCTTGTCACATCTCAGTTGATAACAAATGCGATAAAGCACTGGAATGGGTTACCTAGGGAGGTGGTGGAATCTCCATCCTTAGAGGTTTTTAAGGCCCGGCTTGACAAAGCCCTGGCTGGGAAAATTTAGTTGGTGTTGGTCCTGCTTTGAGCAGGGGATTGGACTAGATGACCTCCTGAGGTCTCTTCCAACCCTGATATTCTATGAAATAGTTTGTGGTACCATTACTTTTGACTAGGACTGACTTGACAAGAAGTCATAGGTATGTTTGACAGACCTGGAAGGTGCCAAGCAGTAATTAACTAGTGTGTCACATCTCTAGTTAACATCACAGGATAAGCAAGCTTCTCAGGAACCCTAACCCTGAAATCACACCACACAAATGTGTATATTATTTAGTTTACAGTGTGGACCTCATTGTTCGCCCAAGGCCGCCAATGCAATAGCAAGACATATTATATATTTTTATCGTGTGTTTCCTTCTACACAATCTCTCTTTTAATATGTAGTTCACCACCTGCAGAATAGCCATCTGAGAGGTCTATTTTGAGATTATACAGTAGCCAAGGAGACATTTAACTGCCAAACACATAGCACCAGTATTTGTTCAAAGCCCTATCCTCAGAAATAAGTCACCTATTACAAAGAATTCAGAATTACTAATTTGTTTGGCCGTTCATTTCTAGGGCTTCTTCTCTCCCCATCCTATCCCATGATCTACATTACAAATACATTCTGGGGACCTGAATTAAACATGGTTGTCCCCTGACATAACTAGGCCACTGCTTCATTTTGTAGTTTTGGCATGTCCCTGACACTGCTAAATCCTTGAGACAGTCCCCCATGACAGTTGTAGTTGCAGTGTAGGAAGGTAGCACAAATAAAACAAAGTGGATTCCTGAAACAAAACAAGTTACACTGAAGATTTCTGTAGTACTTCTTCAGCTAGAACCTAGGATTCCAGTTCAACTGTTTGTGTATGCACTCAGCATTACCAACACTTTCACCTGAGGTTATTTTTGCACTGGGAAACATTCATGTACCCTAAAAGGCAATTCAACTAGCATTATATTTTATACTATACAAGAAAAACATACTTCCAGCAGAGCTCCTTAGGCCTTAAGGGTGGCAAACACTAGACAACTAGTGCAGACCTTCCTCTGCTGACCTAACTTACTATAGCACTTACATGCTACAGTGATGGAAACTACTGAAACCCCTAAACAGACTGTATACGTGGATTCTCACTGGTTGCTATTGGGATGCACTGTTCATGGTACTCAGTGTGAAGCTGTGTTCATGGATTTTTCCAATCTGAGAACTGTATAGCTTTCCCAGTTCTACGGTATGCCACCATAGCATGAGCTGCATAGTAACATTGAAGGGGTAAGCTGCTAAAAAACTTTCAAGCATGGAGAGATGCAGCGAAACAGTATCTGCTCCCCACCTAAATTCATAAATTAAATTTGCACACTAAGAAAAAATGCTCTCTAAACCATTAGTGCTTAATCCACAAATTGTATTCTCTCCCCCTACACCGAACCAACTGCAAGTCTGGCCAGCACTTGAAGGCAAGGGCAGTTCTCACCCTGGGTTCAAGTACCACACACACACACTGCTTATATTTAGATTACTCATCAGCTGATGTTGTCATCCTCCTGCCTGCACAATAACCCAAGATCTGGCCATACCACCCTCAGTATATAATCCCTAACAGGACTGTAGCACAAGAATAACTACACACAATCAATTGTAGCCTCAGAAGCCTGTTGCACTTCAGAGCACCTTACTCCAGCAAGCAGTGGGTGGAAGTGACACAGAAACAGACCCCGGGTCACTCTCAACCCCAGATCCCACAACTGAGAGAGCTGCAGAAACCAGATCCACAGACCCCACGGTAGGGAGACAATGTTCTTACGTAAAAGTGATAACAGCAAAACTATGCTCGGTCCCTTCATTCCTCAGCTGAAGGGAACCGGAGAGGGATGGCGCCGTGCCCCGGGGAGCGCGGGCTGACAGCAGGGTCACCCTCCAAGTCTCATCCAGACCAGGACAAACACTGCGAGCGCCCTACACCACGGGGAGTTGGGGGTCACAGCACCTAAAAGGGGGTCACCCCCCTCCCTTCCCAGAGCCTCGTTGGCTTGACCGGCGCGGGGGGGGGGGGGGGCAGCCAGCCCCGGCGGAGCGGAGCTGCCCCTTCCTGCCATGGGGCGCCCCCCAGCCGACAGCAGAGATCGGGGCCTCTTTAACCCCCCGCCGCGCCGGGACCCCAGGGCCCGAGCCTGACGCGCTGCCCGGTAGGGCCTCGCGGGACCGGCGCCGGGCGCCCTGGCCCTGCCTCCCGGGCCCAGCGTGAATCAGCAGCTGCAGGGGCCTGGGGCTGACGGGGCCTCGCTCCCCCCGCCCCGCCGCTCCCCCTCCCGCGGGCTGCGGCCTTGCGCCCCCCGGCTCCCACGGTGAGTCAGCAGCCGGCACGGCCGGCTCCCCCGCGCCGCCGCCGGGCCGAGGAGCGCGGGCTGCGGGCCGGCCCCGCCAGCGGCCCCGCGCCGCTCACCTATGGAGTGCAGGATCCCTATGGAGGCCTCGCGGTCGGTGGAGAGCAGGGACTGGGCTCGCTGGAACTCCAACACCGCCGCAGCCGCCATCTTAGCCGCTCGCTCACTCCCTCCTCACGCCGAGGCCGGAAAGAGCCGGCCCGGAGCCCCGCCCCTTCCCGCCGCGGGGCATGCCGGGACCTGTAGGCCGTGCACGTGGGGCCGGCTGGGAGGAAGGGGCGTGCGGGCCGGCCCGGGGGGGTCTAATGGGAGCTGGGAGAGAGGGGCTCTGTGGGGCGGTAGTGAGGGGGCTCTGTCGGGCTGTGGTATGGGGTCAGGGGAGGGGCTCTGTGGGGCGCTGGTATGGGGTCAGGGGAGGGGCTCTGTGGGGCGGTAGTATGGGGCCAGGGGAGGGGCCGGGTGAGAGAGGCTCTGTGGGGCGCAGGTATGGGGCTGGGTGAGAGGGGCTCTGTCAGGCTGTGGTATGGGGTTAGGGGAGGGGCTCTGTGGGGTGCTGGTACGGGGCTGGGTGAAAGGGGCTCTGTGGGGTGCAGGTATGGGGTTGGGTGACAGGGGCTCTGTGGGGTGCTAGTATGGGGTCAGGGGAGGGGCTCTGTGGGGCGCTGGTATGGGGTCAGGGGAGGGGCTCTGTGGGGCGCTGGTATGGGGTCAGGGGAGGGGCCGGGTGAGAGGGGCTCTGTGGGGCGCTGGTATGGGGCCAGGGGAGGGACTTGGAGAGACTGAGCTTGATACATTTATGAAGGGGGTGGTATGATGAGACTGCCTGTAATGGCATGTGGCCCGTGTATGACTGCTAGTAGCACATCTCTCCAACAGCTGGAGATGGGGCACTAGATGGGGAGGGTTCTGAGTTCAGGTTGATCATGTTGTTCAATCGGTCCTTCAGCCCTCATATAGATTGTGCCAATCACAACACACCTTCCAGTCTTCTCTTATCCTGGTTTTCCTTCTCCATATGCGGCCAGTCCTTTTCATGATAAAATCGTCCCACAAATCCCATCTCTTTGGAAGTCGACTGAGTGGTCGTTTCAATTCCCATGGGTTCCCTCTGAGTTACTATGGGGAATTCTTTCCCAGGTGTCTTACTGCTGCGTCTTGCCCACATGCTCAGGGTCCTACTGATCACCATAGTTGGGGTCAGGAAGGAATTTTCCCCCAGGTCAGATTGGTGGAGACCCTGGAGTGGGGGGGTGGGGGGGAGTGTTTTGCCTTCCTCTGTCTACAGCATGGGGAATGGGTCACTTGCAGGTTTAAACCAGAATAAATGGTGGATTCTCTGTAACTTGAAGTCTTTAAACCAGGATTTGAGGACTTCAGTAACTCAGCCAGAGATTACGGGCCTGTTACAGGAGGGGATTGGTGAGAGTCTGTGGCCTGTGTTGTGCAGGAAATCAGACTAGATGATCATGAGTCTATCAGTCTATAAGGGATAAGGGAAGGGGTTGGGTGGCTTTGAAGGAAGGGGGGAGGGATAGCTCAGTGGTTTGAGCATTGGCCTGCTAAACCCAGGGTTGTAAATTCAATCCTTGAGGGGGCCATTTAGGGATCTGGGGCAAAAATCTGTCTGGGGATTGGTCCTGCTTTGAGTAGGGGGTTGGACTAGATGACCTCCTGAGGTCCCTTCCAACCCTGAGACTCTATGATATGAGACACAGTCCCCCTATGCCCAGAGACCCCCTCCACAAAGTGGGGCCAGGAGTGGAGCCATGGGTGGGGTCCCGGTGGCAGGGACCCTGGACCCCGCTGTGTGGAGCTGGGCATCAGCCCTGACACTGGACCCGACCACTCAGGGTGGCCTGGCAGGGCAGCCAGGTGGCAGCCTGATCCCTGACCCCAGGGCCAGCTGTCAACCCCGACGCTCACCCGGACCCTCTGTGGGGCGGGCCAGGCCGGCAGCCTCGGACTCTGCCATATAGGGCTGGCCAGGCGGCAGCCCTGAGCCCCACTGGATCCCACCATGCCGCCAGCCACCTGACCAGGGTGGTGACAGTGATTGTGAAATGCTCAGGGAGATCAGAGAGGCTGCAAAGGGAGAAAATGCAATAATAATGGGGGATTTCAACTATCCTCATATTGACTGGGTTTACATCACTTCAGGAAGGGATGAAGAGAGAAAATTTCTAGACACTGTAATTGAGTGCTTTTGGAGCACCCTGTCCTGGAACCCGCAAGGGGAGAGGCAATTCTTAATTGAGTCCTAAATGGAGCACAAGATCTAGTCTAGGAGGTGGACATAGCAGATCTGCTTGGTGACAGCAACCATAATGTAATTAAATGTAACATTCTTGAAAAGTGGCAAAGAAACCCACCACACTAGCGTTTAACTTTCAAAACGAGGAAGTTAGTTAAATAGAAATTAAAAGGAACAGTGACAAGGGTGAAATGTCTGCAAACTGCCTGGAGACTATTATAAATGTATACCCTAAATAAAAAAAAAATCAGTAAGGGGATCAAAAAAAGGTACCACCATAGCTAAACAGTGGAGTAAAAGAGGCATTTAGAGGCAAAAAGGCATCCTTTAAAAATTGGAAGTCAAATTCTCGTGAGGAAAATAGGAGCAGAGAGTCTGGCAAGTGTAAAAGTATAATAAGGAAGGAATAAGGAAGGCCAAGAAAGAATTTGAAGAGAACATAAGAGCAGCTAGCTAAGGCAACAAAAACTAACAGCAAACAAAAAATAAAATAAAAATAAGTACATCAGAAGCAGGAAGCCTGCCAAACAGTCAGTGGGGCCCCTGGATGATCAAGGGGCTAAAGGAGCACTCAAGAAGTCAAGGCCATTGTGGAGAAGCAAAAATGAATTCTTTGCATTGGTTTTCACTGCAGAGGAAATGGATGAGAACCCACTACAGCTGAGCCATTCTTTTTAGGTAACAAATCTGAGGAACTGTCCCAGAATGAGGTGTCAATAGAGGAGGGTTCAGAACAAATTGATAAATGAATAAGTCACAAGGACCAGATGGGATTCACGCAAGAGTTCTGAAAGAACTAAAATATGAAATTGAAGAATTTCTAACTGTGGTATGTAACCTAGTGCTTAAATCAGCCTTTGTTCCAGATGACTGACAGATAGCTAATGTGATGCCTATTTTTAAAAAAGACTCCAGAGGCGATCCTGGCAATTACAGGCTGTAAGCCTAACTTCAGTACCAGGCAAACTGACTGAATCTATAATAAAGAACAGAATTGTCAGACACATAGATAAATACAATAAGTTGTGGAAGAGTCAACATACCTTTTGTAAAGAGAAATGTAGTAGAATTCTTTGAGGGAGTCAACAAGCATGTGGATATAGGGTGTACTTGGGCTTTCGAAAGCTTTTGATGAGGTCTCTCACCAAAGGCTCTTAAGCAAAGTAGGTAGTTATGAGATAAGAGGGAAAGGCCTCTCAAGGATCAGTAGCTGGTTAAAAGATAGGAAATAAAGGGTAGGAATAAATGGTCAATTTTCACAGTGGAGAGAGGTAAATAGCAGGGCCGCCCAGAGGATTCAGGGGGCCTGGGGCAAAGCAATTTTGGGGGTCCCTTCCGTTAAAAAAAGTTGCAATACTATATTCTCATGGGGGCCCCTGCGGGGCCGGGGGCAAATTGCCCCACTTGCCCCCCCAGGCGGCCCTGAATAGCGGAGTCTGTAAAGTCTGAGGTCTTTTTCTGTAGCCATATTAGGAGAGCAGCAGCCATGAGCCAAGAAGCAGAAACTCACATCCTTACATTCCATCTAAATTACATTAAAACAATGTCATATTGGGCTGTTAAGAAGGTGATACTGTCCTAATAGTATCCACCACCAGTGTTCCCTCTAATTTTTGCACACGTGTATGGAATGAATTTAATTTCATTAAAAGTTCCCTTTGTTTTATATTATTTGAAAAGAGAAATATCCTGTTTCTGATTTATCTTCTCAATATCATTCACTATTTTACATACCCAATTAAGTTCCTTCTTATTCATCTAAACACTCTTAAACTTTTCAATTTCTCTTCATATGAAAGTTCTTCAATACCCTTAATCATATCTTTCACTTATCTTTAAAGCCTCTCTGTTTTTTCTAGATACTTTTTGAGATAGTGACCAAAACATAACATAGTATTCCACATAAGGGCATACTCTTAATATTACTGGCATCACAATATTTTAATTCCTATTTTGTATCACATTCCTTATGTATCTCAATATTTTGTTTGCCTTTTTTCCTCTTTCTTTTTTAACTGCCATTGCACAGTGAGCATTCCACAATGACATCCGAGTCTTTTTCAGGAGTGATTACATTTGATTTCAATTCCAGTAATGTGTATGAGTTCAAATCATGCCTCCCAGTGTGCATTACACCTTGCATTCATGAACACTAAATTTAATCTGTGATTGTGCTGCCCATACACCCAGCTTTATCATGTTCCTCTGAAGTTCCTCAATGTCTTCTCTAGCCTTAACTAACCTAAATAACAGTAAAAAGCAACAGAGAGTCCTGTGGCACCTTTAAGACTAACAGATGTATTGGAGCATAAGCTTTCGTGGGTGACGAAGTGGGCATTCACCCACGAAAGCTTATGCTCCAATACATCTGTTAATCTTAAAGGTGCCACAGGACTCTCTGTTGCTTTTTACAGATCCAGACTAACATGGCTACCCCTCTGATACTAAATAACAGTGTCATTTTCAAATTTTGCCATCTCACTGTTCACCCCCTTTTCTAGATGATTTATAAATATATTAAACAACACCTGTCCAAGTACAGAACATTGTGGAATCACACTGTAAACCTTCCACAATGATGAAAATTGGCCATTTTTCTTACTGGCTGCCATCACTCACAAACTAGGTTATAGCTTATGGGTGTACTGAGCACCTTTTATTCAGGCTGAATGAAGGAGCAACTAAGTTCCCCTTTGCGTGGTGATAGCTGAAACAACAGAAGCCACCACCCAAGGCACTGGGTGCACATGAAGGCTTGAGCAAGATCTAACTCAGGGAGAGTAAATGGAATTTTCTTGGGGCTGATTGTAAATGCAGGGCCTGGTACATTGATTGGCTGTAGCTATGTGTGTCAGGTGCAGGAAAAGCTGCAGAAGTGAAGAGAAAGCAGCAGAAAGGAAGAGCAGCAGTGGTGAGTAAGGCC